TGTAAATATAAATATAAAGTAAACATTGGAGTCAACACTCAAAGGCGACAGACTGTTTTATGATGATTGAAGCCTGATGATTAAAGCTAGATGATTGCGTTTAGCATGAAGCACCTCTGAGTATGTTCACTTTAATATATATATATATATATATATATATATATATATATATATATATATATATATATGATATAGTATGTGTGCATATAAATATATATATATATGCAATTTTATATATATTATATATGCGCTCAATATCATTGATAGAGCTAAATGTCAAGCGATATTTAGTTTAATTGATTTTATTTGTGACCCTAGGTTTCAGGCCTAGTGATCGCCAGGGCGTGAAACCCAGGGTCACAAACTCACATCAATGCAACTATATTTATATATATATATATATATATATATATATATATATATATATATATATATATATATATATTAGTTTGTATTTAGGCAGCAGTTATTCGGTTATTCTATTAGCGATTATCAAGGATTCTTTTTTTAACTGAATAGTAGATTTTTCTATTTTTCTATCTATAATGATAGGAATGATTTTCCAAACACAGCTAGTTCATTGTGGCTGTGTTGATAGTTGATAGTACTGGATGTTGGCTTTTTCTTTTTTCCAATTTATAATGCTTCCATTATTTTTAGCCTTTTTTTTGTACATGTGTATGAGATGTAACGTGAGTCTTCTTGATAGGCATGTAGTGGTATGTCCAATATAATTATTCATGAATTTGGTTTGATCAGGAACACAATTCCTTAGGCAACACGCGAATTCAAAAACAATGTTGCTTCTCTGTAATTTCGATCTTGCAGGTGAGTTTTGTTGATGAACTACGATCAATTGTCAACACGGGCACAATGTGCTTATCGCGTTTGAAAAATAGAAACATTCCCATAACTATAGACATGCAGGGTGCGATGGATAAACTGTCGTCTAAATTACGCAAAAATGAAAATAACACTGACATCTCATTTTAAAATATATATTTACTAAAATTACACAAAAATATCTTGAAATACTAAAAAGCTAATTTATTAAATAAAATCGTCATTGGCTTCAACCACAGCCTCCATACGACTTCGGAATCTCCTACAACTCTTCTGGAATGTCTTCTTATTTAAGTTATTAAATACTGCCATAATTTTTGCCTTTGGTTCATCTTTGGTGTGACAAGGAGTTTTGTTGGACTCTCGCTCAACTGTGCCCCACAAATAGTAATTAAGGGTCTTACAATCTGGTGATTTAGTTGGTCAGATGTAAGGGGTGATGTGGTTGCAATAAGTGTCTGACAGACATGACTAAGTTCTCCTGCTTCTGTAGTATGGTGCAGAGTACTTTCGCTAGACATAGGGTCTTCCTCTTGACCCAACGTAGCTCTACCATCTCAAGGCACTTGATGTTGACCTCTGTGTTGAGTCCGAGGCGTAGATGAATGGAGGCACAATGTCACCATCACTAATGATCACTCCAAACACTATAATGTTGACTGGATATATAATCCAATTATTTCTGAATCCTCTGTACTGTCCTCAGATTAACAATCACTTTGAAATGTTCATATTGGAACTTCCAAGGCAAATGCCAAGCAGTATGGCATGCCGTTTCTAAATTTCTGGTGGAGTGAATTGCGTCATGGTGCTCCTTTTCTCAGTTGACCCTACTTTACTGTGCAGTCGACAAAATCAAAAACAAACAACGCGCATGCGTGAAGTTAAAAACATAAAATGGCGATAATCGCATCCTGTAGAAGCGATGTCGGCTATTCTATAAGCCATTATCAAAGATTTTTCTTTTATTCTTAACTGAATATATAGTGTTTTATCTTTGATAATGGCTTATAGAATAGCCGAAATCGCTTCTATATATAGAACACTCGGACAGTTTTTACACACTTTATGCTCAGAAAAGAAACCATTTAATCGCAGTACATTGTCAGTCGTCTTTAATGAAAGAAAACCTGTGGAGCACAACCTGTAAATATCATTATAGTTGAAACGCCGATTCCCGTACGATCATCGAAGTTAAGCAACGTCGAGCTTGGTCAGTATCTAGATGGGTGACCGCCTGGGAACACCAGGTGCTGTAAGTTTAGATGAGCGAGTGGTGTAACGGATAATGGCTCGGAATTGTTAATCGGACTGCCGAGTTCCAATTCAAGTTGGATTCGTTATATTCACTCACGCGCAAAATACCCTAGCGAAAGATATGAATCCACCTCTTCTACCCCCCTCTATGGGTTAATTAGTAAGACTTGTTTCACTAAATCATTATTTTCTCGAGAGAAAAAAAACGTGGCTTCTGTTCTCTTCAAAACTTTTAGTTAAATGCCTTGCTTTCCGGATTGTTTGAAATCCTTCTCTGTGGTTACTGTCTTTAAGAATTCTGTTGAACCTTCTGACCACACGAATTCTTGCCCTGTTAGTCTTTTACCACTTTTTGGTAAATTACTAGATGCTCTAATCAACGCCAAATTGATTAAGTGTCTTTTTTCACCCCAACTTCTTTCGAATAACCAGTATGACTTTCGCGTCTTTAGGTCTTTTTTTGTTTGTTTTTAAACATTTCACCCCTAGCAAGGAGGGAAGCCACTAGCACGCAAGGGGTTATAGTGGATTTGGAGCGTGAGCAGATAGGAATGGATGGGGAGAAGGATAGTGGATAGATCAAGGCAACTGGAGATGTCAATTGACATTACATTTGAATAGTTGGAGATTATAGCTCTCAGGAAAACTGGAATAGGGAAGGGAGTTCCACAGGCGAGTGGTGTGAGACATAAAGCTATTGGAGTAGAAGAGACGGCTACATTTAGGAGTTTTGACAGTGAAGGGGTGAGAGCGGGATTCCAGCCTCGTAGAGCATTGAATTCGCGAAGTCTGGAAACCAGCGAATGCAGCTCCTCGGAGCAATTGCCATGAAAGTATTTGTAAAACAGACAGAGAGAGGCGACGGCACGTCTGTGAGAGAGCGACTGCAGGCGCAATGCCAGATCAGGGCCAATTATATTGCATATCCGTCTCTGGATTTTATCAAGAACCTTGAGACAAACAGAAGGGGCTCTAGACCATATATGGCAGCAATACTCCATGCAAGGGCGAATGGTTGATTTGTAGATTTGAAGGATCGATTCGGGAGAAAAAATTTCCTGACGCGGCACAGGAGCCAACTTCCTTGCGGTGGACGAACAATTGACTCACTGTATTTGTTCCATCTCAGGTCAGTAGACAACGGGACCGAGCAGCCGCAGAGAGGTGCTCTCGGGAAGTTGAGCGTCAGATATTCTAATATGGGGCAGGTGCAGGAGGTCTGCCGCCAATATATTAATAGTTATCTATGAGGTTTTAGATAAGAACGATCTGGCTCTCACTGTGGCTTTAGATATCTCGAAAGCTTTCGACGGGTTTTGGCATGCCGGTCTTCGCCACACGTTCAAGGGCTAAGGTGACTCTAGACGAATATTTGGTGTAGTCCAGTCGTTCTTAATAAATCCTGTTATGAAGGTCGGGTTGAACAAGTACGCTTCTATATCATTTCACATTAAGGCGGGGGTCACCTAAGCTTCTATCCTTGGACCTAAGTTGTTTCTTATCTTCATTAATGACCTTCCCGATGTCACCAGTTTCCAATTAAGTATTTATGCTGATGTCACAACTATTTACCCCTGTCTTAAACTTTTGAGCCCTGACCACCGCTTTACCGGTGGTAGAGAAAAATGACGTAATGCTCAACCACCGGTTGAAAAGTGGTAGAGAAAAATGACTTGATACCCAGGTACCGGTTGAACGGTGGATAAACACTTGTAACTATTTTTATATCTATCGGGAAACGTTACCAATTATTTGCGAATTTTGACTCAGGAGCTCAGGCTATTCTTTAGAAACGCAGGGTTCAAACGGTTAATAGTAAGTTTGGTTGGTCCAACAAAACGAAATTGGCAGAAAATGGCCTCCAATCAGTAGCTAACTGGAACAAGAAATTACTTGGAAGTTTTAATGCCTCCTGATGTAATGAATATGCATACACCTTGGTCCCCCCACACAGTAATATGATTGGCTGGTGTCAGCCATAAATACAGACTGATGTGGAGGTACAGGGACGACGCCTATTGGCTACACCTATTGCCTACCGCTACGACGAGGACCTGCCGGACGACGCCTATTGCCTACGACTATTGTCTTCGCCTATTGTCTCCGCCTATTGCCTACCACTACGACGAGGACCTGCCGGACGACGCCTATTGCTTACGACTGTTGACTTCGCCTATTGTCTCCGCCTATTGCCTATCACTACGACGAGGAACTACCGGACGAGGCCTATTGCTTACGACTATTGTCTTCGCCTGGCTGCCTACCACTACGATGAGGACCTACCGGACGACGCCTATTGCCTACGACTATTGTCTTCGCCTATTGTTCCGCCTATTGCCTACCACTACGACGAGGACCTACCGGACGACGCCTATTGCCTACGACTATTGTCTTCGCCTATTGTTCCGCCTATTGCCTACCACTACGACGAGGGACCTGCCGGACGACGCCTATTGCTTACGACTGTTGACTTCGCCTATTGTCTCCGCCTATTGCCTATCACTACGACGAGGAACTACCGGACGAGGCCTATTGCTTACGACTATTGTCTTCGCCTATTGCCTACCACTACGATGAGGACCTACCGGACGACGCCTATTGCCTACGACTATTGTCTTCGCCTATTGTCTCCGCCTATTGCCCCTACCACTACGACGAGGACCTACCGGACGACGCCTATTGCCACGACTATTGTCTTCGCCTATTGTTCCGCCTACTGCCTACCACTACGACGAGGACCTACCGGACGACGCCTATTGCCTACGACTATTGTCTTCGCCTATTGTCTCCGCCTATTGCCTACCACTACGACGAGGACCTACTGGACGACGCCTATTGCCTACGACTATTGTCTTCGCCTATTGTATCCGCCTATTGCCTACCACTACGACGAGGACCAGTCCATTACGGTTACCTGCTAGATTATCCTACTCGGTTACAGTAATCCAAAACCACTTTGCTACTTCGAACAAATAGATCCCTTTCTGGGACATATCACCTCCAAAGCAAAACTGCTCTCATTTAATCCTCCATAAATAATCGTTTCTGTCTTCTCTCGGCATGGCTGATGCTAACCACCAAAAATTCCACTCATTGCACATATTTGGGCTTATTTTATAATTTTCACTCGAGTGCATATTGGATTAAAATTATTACCATTATTTTTTTATTTTTTTTAGAAATTGCATTGTTTACGTTTCGGAAGTTAAACTGAGCAGATATGACTTTCGAAAAAAATGTGAACAAGTAAAATCTTCCTTAGAGGCAAACAGAACCAAGTATGACTGTGAATGTCTCCGTGGCCGAGTGGTTAAAGCGCGCCCGATCAAACGACGGTTTCTCTTGCAAATGAGGACAAACTAACATCGTCCGTGCATTGAATATTGCCTTCATATCTAGTCCGCTGCCCCTGCTATGCGCTTCGAGATTCTTAACAAGATCAAAAGAGGCGGGTCTGTGATGTTATAGGTCCTCACCTGACACCTCGACTTGGCTTCCGCCTCTCTTTTCTACAGTTATCGCAATTGTTCTGGTGAGCTTTCTTCCGTGATAACTCAACCGCCTGGATTTAAGCATACAACGAGATTGGCAAATATGGTGTCATCGTTTTACTGTTGAAATCGCTAGATGCAACCGCAAGTTCTATTCTAATAGTTTCTTTTCTCGCACTACTCGCTTGTGGAGGTCTCTTGCTTCCCTGCCGCCTAAAATCTAACAAAAAATTAAATGCGACGTCAATCGCCATGTTCTTTCTTTATTGTCCTTTCATCTAACTAATGTCTTTTCAATCATTTTCATTCCAAGTAAGCCCTTACGTCTTAGTGGCATTATCGCCTTGATTGGGTGGGTAAAAAAATAGTCTGTTTGCGATAACGTTAGAATTTGAACTCTGAGACGACTAAATTTTATTAAGTAGAACAAAAAAATAGCAACAGTTTTAAAAATTTTATATAAATCTCTAGTTTCTCAGCGTAAAAAAGTTCTTACAAAAATTAGTTTGGTGAAACAACGAAGAATAGAAATGTGTACACTTTGGATTCGGTCGAAAAAGATGGTCGGTTTGTCTGTCTGTCTGTTTGTCCAACCATCTATCTATCTATCTATCTATATTATTCTTTTCATATCTATCTATCTATCTATCTATCTATCTATCTATCTTATTCTTTTCATATTTATCTATCTATCTATATGTATATCTGTCTGTCTATCATTCGCTTCATATCTATCTATCTATCTATCTATCTATCTATCATTCATCTATCTATCTCTGTTTATATCTAATAATTACTGTTCTTATTTATCCATCTGACTATTTATCTTATTCGCTTCATATCTATCTATCTATCTATCTATCTATCTATCTATCTATCTATCTATCGTATTGTTTTCATATCTATCTATTTATCTATCTATTTACCTATCTTATTCTTTTCATATCTATCTATATGTCTATCTGTCTGTCTGTCTGTCTATCATTCTCTTCATATCTATCTATCTATCTATAACAGCCTCTTCATATCTATCTATCTATCTATCTATCTATCTATCTCAACCTCTTATTATCTATCTATCTATCTATCTATCTCAACCTCATCTATCTATCTATCTATCTATCTATAACAGCCTCTTCATATCTATCTAGCTAGCTAGCTAGCTATCATCTTAAAATAAATACGCTTAAAATCACCGTCTATCTATCTATCTTATTCTATTCATATCTATATAATTCGCTTCTTTATGTATTTCTATCTATGCCATTCTGTACATATCTATCTTTCTATCTATCTATCTATCTATCTATTTATATATATATATATATATATATATATATATATATATATATATATATATATTTTATGATTTTCCTATCCTATCTATCTATCTATCTATCTGTAGCCATAAAGCAATGGCAAGCGCCCCTAAATGTTTTGACAGAGAACCCAGGAAGCACCACATTCACAACACTAACGATTGATCGACGAGAAGAATGTTAAAAAACGCGAGTCCCGCTAAAGTGTCCTAAGTCCTACATTCTTTCCATCAATCGTTAGTGTTGTGAATGGGGGGTCCCTGTCAAAACACGCAAGCGGGGGTCCCTTCCTGGCCTCATACACACACAAATATAATCATACACTGATTACAAATAAGTTGATAAATATCAGTCTGTCTCTCACTCCTTTTTTCTGCGTTCATACCAATCCCAATCCAACCTTTTATCTATCATACGTGTCTATATGTGTCTATCTCATTATGTTTATTTCATCACTCTCTTATTCATAGAGGCTATTATTTTGCCGGGTTCATGTCAACCGGATGTGTTACTGCAATTTGACGTTGTTCTGCATTTCGTTTTTTCTTATATACACACACGCATACAGACATACACATATGAATAAAGGCAAAGAGAAAGCTTATCGTAGCCAACGCGTTTCGTCCTCTGATAGAGTTTATCAAGGCAAAGGTAAGGATTTTTATTTCGCAATAGATATTTATATAAACGAAAGTAGAAATGTCGTCTGTTTTGCAGAATTTTTAATTTTTAAAATGCTTATAAATATATATCAAGCCAACTGAAAGTCAATGTAAAATGCGGAAGAAGTGATGTATCGTATTTGATGGCATGTAAGGCGCACTTCTTTTTTATTATATATATCTTTTAAAATTCCCCTGCGTCTTATATGCCATAAGTAGGTTTAAAATTCGCGATAGTCGGCCGAAATTAGCTACCTGGCAACTCCTATCAGCTTACACTTAAACATGAAGGAGCAATGGAACATGTGGATGGCAATACCTGATCACGACCTTACATTTACAGGAAGAATAAAAAGACCCAGCGTCGAACAAGTCTGCGAATCGGTGAAGCAAGCTTGGGATAATATTATACCAGAAATTGTGAAATCTTTTAAAAAGTGTGGAATTAGGAAAGCTCTCAATGGAACGGAAGATGGCGCATTATTTAACGACGATGATAGTCGTATTGAAAATGAGTTTTGTTAAAAAAAAGACAACAAATTTTATGAATTTGAAGATGAATAAAATTTTAATGGTAATTGTACTGTTTTGCTCAATTGCAATAATTGCTTGAGTTTTATTTTGTTTTCTTACCTTTGGATATAATAAAGTTTTTTTAGGCTCCTGTTCTGTTTTCCTATTATTTTTAGTTTAACTGTAATCACGGTTTGTTTAAACAAAATAATAAATTAGTCCGTACCATATATATTAGACTATAATAGACCGTTTACTAATTACTAATTTTTTCTTGATTTGCCCGGCTGAAGCTGGGGTGCGTCTTATATGCCGTCAACTACGGTAATTTAATGTCTAATAAACAAAAGTAAATCTTGTTATTGTAAACTTATTATATATTTTAAACAAATAGGTTTTGAATTTAATCGTTTTCTTTTAATGTTTTACATATTTTTATAGCCAAGTATGTTAGCTTGGGAAATGAGTATTTCTTTTAGGAAAGGAGTATTTCTTTTAGGAAAGGAGTATTTCTTTTACGAAAGGAGATATTTGAAGAAATCTGGAGCGTATATTTATATTTTGGCAACATTAGATCGAGGCACTCTTGAGAATTTTCCGTCTGAGGTAGTTTCTCTTTTAATTAGTCTGGCATTCCATAGTTTGAATTTCTAGTTGAACTTATTTCTACATATGACTAATATATTTGATAAATTGCTGTGTATAAAAGTCTTTTTGTGTTCACATATACGATTTTTTTTAATCTCAACAACTGTCACCAGTGTGATGTCAGAAACAGGTGCGAGAGTTTATTTTAAATATACCGTCTTTTGAATTATTATTGTTATGGATATATATATATATAAAATTATGTTGAGAAGCAGGAAACTTATAGGATTCATGGGATTATAATTTATTTCCTTAGGACCAGGATTTTGGCCCTAATTCATCAGATTTCCATTTTCATACAAAAAATGGGTGACAAATTTTTACAGGCTTAAAAATTTGTATAATATTATTTTTAATTCATGCACACATGTGTCTGAGAAGGCAGTTGTAAGTTGGTATAATATGATAGAGAGAGGAGGGGGAAGACAATATATATGTGATCGAAACTAGAGCTCTCTGGATTGCATCCTCCTTGGAATTATCCATACGGATTGCCAATTAACTGATTAACTAATCATATATACGTGCCAAATTATTATTGAGATAACTTTTTTCTAATATTTCAAAACTGTTCAATCAATTCACAAAATTTTTCACACAATGTTGGCAACACTAAGCTGCGCAATCACTGAAATTTTCATACTGATTTGCACAATGTAAACAAACTGGCGCCATATTTGTTATCAGCACGGTGATTTGAGCGTGCCAAATTATTAGAAAAGTGTAAGAATTTAGTGAAAGATGGGCCGTAAAAGCAGTTTAAGTGATGCTGAAAAGAAAACTATCACCTCAGAACTCTCAAAGGTAAATCTACCTAGAAATTTCTAAAATGATAGGGAGGTGTCATCAAACAGTGAAAAAAGTTCACCGCCGACCCTACACAAGTACGCAAAAGGGCAGATAAAGGCAAGCCGAGGGTTATTTCACGTCGTCTCATGTCACGACTTAAACGGGAGGCCACGAAGAACCCTGGACTTACCAGTCAAGAGCTTTTCAGTCGCATTGGGGATCCTACTGTGTCTAAAAGTACTCGGTGTCGGTATCTGAGGGAAATAGCAACAACAGTCAAACCTGTATCGAAACCTCCGTTGACGAGAAATCACATTCAAAATTGATTGAAATGGGCCGAGGACAATATGAAGATTGACTCTCTAAAGTTTTGTTCACAGACGAAACTCGAGCAACATTTGATGGGCCAGATAGATGGTGCAAAGGCTGGGTAATGAACGGACAGAATCGCCATCAGCGTTTGAGATGCCAACAAGGCGGTGGAGGCATAATGATCTGGGGTGGTATCATTGGAATAACATTAGTGGGCCCATGTAGAGTATCAGATGGCGTCAAAATGAATGCTGATGCATACATAGCGTTTATGAAGGAGCATCTTGAACCGTGGATGAAAAAGGGCAAAGAGTTGCCTTCAGAAGGGCCATTGTTTTTATGCAAGATAATGCTCCCTCATGCTGCTCACAAGACTACTGAATATTTGAAACAGTTGAAGCTTCGATGGACCTCGAAAAATGAAGTGGCCAGCAAATTCTCCTGATCTGAACCGAATCGAAAACCTTTGGAGCATCACGAAGCGAAGATTGTACGCCAACGGACGACAATTCAGGAGCAACGCTGAGTTGTGGGAAGCAATTCTTGACATATCTCGCGGCATTACAGCAGATGACGTCCTACAATTAACAAATTCTATGGATCGTCGACTTCTTCAAGTAATTTCAAAACAGGGAAAGCACATTCACTATTAATTTGTTTAAAACTATGCCTTTGTTTGTATCTGTTATTATTTGTTTGATTATCTTATTTATTAGCTTCTTTTGATCATAAACATTCACGTGCAACATTAATAAACGTTTCGTTTGCTCAATTCTGGGAATTTTACTGAACCTTCCTAATAATTTGGCACGCTCAAATCACCGTGCTGATAACAAATATGGCGCCAGTTTGTTTACATTGCGCAGATCAGTACAAAAATTTCAGTGATTGCGCAGGTCAGTGTTGCCAACATTGTGTGAAAATTTTGTGTGAATTGATTGGACAGTTTTTGAAATATTAGAAAAAAAGTTATCTCGATAATAATTTGGCACGCAGTATATATATATATATATATATATATTTGCATTATTCGGACTATTGTCCTAATCTTAGTCTTTGTCGCCTTAACCAGATATTGAACTCACACCATTTGGGTCCTGTCACTGGATTTAACCAACGCCTTTATCCACTGTGCCATGTGTCCTTGTGGAGAACTTTCAGAGGGAAAATTAACAGGAGATAACTGATAACTGACATCCATTAAACATGGCCTGTGAAACTAGAACAGTCTACACAGTGAGCGAAATGAAGGGTTCAGTTCGACATTCCAACCACCCGAAGAAGGCCACAACGGCCGAAACGTTGTAATAAATATGGCGACAAAGATGAGGACAATAGTTCGAATAGTGTAAATAATATACATAATACCCTCATCTCAGAAATATAGTTGTAATAAATATATATGAAAAGCGACAAATTTATGAGGACAATAGTTTTTATAGATCGAATTTTGTAAATAATATAAATAAATGTCCGACCTCATCAGGTCAATCCGTCTAAATATTTCTATGAAAATTTCGACATTCAGGCCGGTAAATATTTATACTGTTTATCATAAATATATTATATATAAAAATAACAACGTTATAAATAAAATGTCTTTAATAAATATATATATATATATATATATATAGTGTGTGTGTGTGTGTGTGTGTGTGTGTGTGTGATGAAAATTGTCGCTATTTTTATTTTGAATGTTGCGATGTTTATTTTTGAGTTTGTCTACTACACAGTATAGTAGGGTCAGTAGGGCTCCGTTTGTGAGAAAAAGAACTCCATGACGCAATACACTCCGCCAGAAATTTGAAAACGACATGTTGTACTGCTTGGCATTCGCACCAGAAGATCTAGTACCAATATTTCAGAGTGTTTGGGTGTTAATCTGAGAAGAATGCAAAGGGTTCGGGAATAGTTTGATGAGTCTAATGGGGATTACGAAGCTACAACAGCTTGGTATCGTCCTGATAAGAAAAAAAAAAACAACTGGATTTGTTGGTGAAGGCCTCAACACGGATTCCTACATCAAGAGCCTTGAAGAAGTAATGCTGCGCTGAGTCAAGTGAGTGGCTGCTGAATGACCCTGTATCTAGCAACAGGACTCTGCACCTTGAAGGAAAACCCAGTCATGGCTGTCAGGCAATTTCTACGATCACATTACCCCCTTTTATCTTGCCACCGTACCCCATCCCGAGTGCAAGCCGCTTGATTATTATGTGTCTGGCGCTACTGAGCGAGAGACTGACAAGACTCCTTGTGGTACTAAAGATGAACTGAAGGCAGGGAGATTGGTAGCTTTCACCAACACAAAAATTTTTCCAGCAGCTACCAACTTGAGCAAGGGTAAGACTACTTCCTCAAGGTACTTGATGTAGGCCTCCAAAGACATAGATAGATAGATAGATAGATAGATAGATAGATAGATAGATAGATAGATAGATAGATGTACAAACTAAACGATAGATAGATAGATAGATAGATAGATAGACTAGATAGATAGATATAGATAGATAGATATGATAATGATAGATAGATAGATAGATAGATAGATAGATAGATAGATAGATGTATAAACTGATAGATAGATAGATAGATGATAGACAAAAACAGAATGAGATAGATAGATAGATAGATAGATAGATAGATAGATAGATAGATAGATAGATAAGATAGATAAAAAAACAGAATGAGATAGATAGATAGATAGATAAGAACAGAATGAGATAGATAGATAGAGAGATAGATAGATAGATAGATAATTTGTTCAAAGCTCTTGAATTTCAAAAATGCAAAATAGTTGATAGAAGATAGATAGATAGATAGATAGATAGATAGATAGATAGGCAGGGAGATTGGTAGCTTTTACCAACACGAAGATTTTTTCCAGCAGCTACCAACTTGAGCAAGGGCAGGACTACTACGCCAAGGTACTTGGTGTAGGGCTCCGTGTTGACTCTGAGGTCCTGTGGGAAGATGAATGGAGGCATAACGTCGCCTTCACTAGCGATCACTCAAAACACCTTCGTAATCACCATTAGAGTCATCCAACTCTTTCTGAATCCTCTGTACTGTCTCAGGTTGACACCTAAACAACTGAAACGAAAATACTGGGGCTTCCGCAGTAGAGTATGACGTTTCCAAATCTGCGGATGGGTGAATTGCGTCATGGTGCTTTTTTTTTTCTCACAAACGATGCACGACTGACCCTACTATGCTCTGCAGTCGACAAAATCCGATACAAACAACGCGTATGTGTGAAATTAAAAATATAAAATTGTGACAATTAATCCATCGCACCATGTAGGTAGAGAGACGTGACTAGATAGATAGATAGATGAATGTATAGATTGATGGATAGACAGTTGAGTATAAACTGCGATAGATAGATAGATAGATAGATAGATAGATAGATAGATAGATAGATAGATAGATAGATAGATATGACTAGAATGATAGATAGATAGATGGATGGATAGATAGACAGATGTGTACAAACTGCTATAGATATGTGGATAGATATGACGAGACAGATAGATAGATAAACAGATGTGTACAAACTGCGATAGATAGATAGATAGATAGATAGATAGATAGAACAAACTAGATAGATAGATAGATAGATAGAGCTAAATGATATAGATAGATAGATAGATAGATGATATGTGTACTAGAGATAGATAGATAGATAGATAGAGATAGATAGATTGTAAATGTGGTACAAACAAAATAGATAGATAGATAGATGAATAGATAGATAGATAGATATAGATAGATAGATAGATGTTGGTCGATAGATAGATAGATAAATGTGAAGACAGACAGACAGACAGGCAGATAGATAGATAGATAGATAGATAGATAGATAGATAGATAGATAGATAGATGATGTACAAACTGCGATAGATAGATAGATAAATAGATGGACAGACAGACAGACAGACAGATAGATAGATAGATAGATAGATAGATAGATAGACAAACTCTCGATAGATAGATGTGTAGAAGACAGACAGACAGATAGATAGATAGATAGATAGATAGATAGATGTGTACAAACTGCGATAGATAGATAGATAAATAGATAGACAGACAGACAGACAGACAGGCAGATAGATAGATAGATAGATAGATAGATAGATAGATAGATAGATAGATGTGTACAAACTGCGATAGATAGATAGATAAATAGACAGACAGACAGACAGACAGACAGATAGATAGATAGATAGATAGATAGATAGATAGATGATAGAATAAATAGATGTACAAACTGCGATAGATAGATAAATAAACAGACAGACAGACAGACAGACAGGCAGATAGATAGATAGATAGATAGATAGATAGATAGATGTAAAACTTGTGATAAATAGATAGATAAATAGACAGACAGACAGACAGACAGACAGACAGGCAGATAGATAGATAGATAGATAGATAGATAGATAGATAGATAGATAGATATTAACTTGAATATAAGCCATTCATCTGTCTGTTCATATATTCAAACCTCTTAAATTCTGTTCATGTCTGTATCAAATACTTCATATCTCTCTTAATGTATTAATTTCCCAATCTTTCTCTCTCCCCCTCTCTCTCTCTCTCTCACACACACACACACACACACACACACACACACTCCCACCCTCTTTCTCACATTCTTTTCAACCCCACCCCTTCAAGTCTGTTTTCCTCTCTCTTTTTCTTTCCTAAATTTTTATTTTTAGCAAAGAAATATAGACCTATCAGGAAGTATTTCAGAGTTGACTCATAGCCTGCAAAGTCAGTCAGTGATATGCATATATACGTATTATTTTTACTTACCGAGTAGGGATTTCCCTCGTGTCATTTAGTCCTACTTGTTAGATGTTAATTGATGACGCGATAGGCGTTTAAAAAATACACTGACGGATACCATGGATCGAATCCGTCTTCCAACTTCTTCCTGTTTTTGTTGAAGGGCAAAGCAGATTGGCGCAATACTCTCTTCTAACCCTAGTTTCTCAATCTAAATCAGTGAATATTAGATCAGTAGATAATAAACCCGAAATTTAATCCCTTTCCTAATTCGAATAAAGACTGACATAAACAACATGTTGACCTTCCACACTACCTCAAACAAAAGATTAGGAAGGAAACCCATATCAATACTGGAAAGAGCGATAACAGTTACTGGACTTGAGAAACCTATTTTCCTGAAAAATTGCTTTATAAAAACAGTTCTTTAAGAGTAGAAATGATTTTTTAAAAAGTTTTAAAATTCAAAATTGCAACTTTTATGAATGAAAAATTGCTTGGCCAAATGAATACCTTTAAGAATAATTTTATGAATAAAATATTGCTTTAAGAAAAAATTGCTTTATATTTTATGAATGAAAAATTGTTATTTATTGAAAATTATTAACGTTTTATGAAAAAAATTGCTTTATGAGTTTTATAAATCTTGAAAGAGTAGCCCTAGTCATGAAAAATTGTTTACATTTTATGAATAAAAATATTTAAGGGGATAAGATTTTCAGAATGAAAAATTGCCCAGCTTTATTCAAAAATTGCTTTAAGAGTAAGATTTTATGAATGAAAATTGCTTTAAGAGTAAGATTTATTCATTAATTGCTTAAGGGCAAAAGATTTTGCCTAAAATTGCTTTTTGTTTCGAAAATTGCTTTTAGGGTAAGATTTTAAATGAAAAATTGCTATAAAGAAAAAACTTGCTTTAAAGAAATGAAAAAATTGCTTTTTTAAAAATTCTACTTTAGAAAGATTTTATGAATGAAAATTGCTTTAAAGTGAAAAATGAAAAATTGCTTTTACAGGTAGATTTTTTGAAAATGATGTAAGATTTTAAAAATGAAAATTGCTTTAAGACTTTTAACCATGAAAATTGCTTTAAACCTAAAAGATTTTGTGAATGAAAAAATTGAAGGGTATAAATGAAAATTGAAACAAATTTTAACAAAATTGCTTTAAGAGCAAAAAAATTGCTTTTAAAAGTAAGATTTTATAAATGAAAAATTGCTTTAAGGGTGAGATTTTAAATGAAAAATTGCTTTTTAGAAACAATAATGAATGAAAATTACTTTAATGAAGATTTTATAAATGAAAATTGCTTTAAGTGTAAGATTTTAAAAGGAAAAATTGCAAAAAAATGAATGAAAAACTGCCAAGCAATACTTTAAGGGTAAAAATGAGCGATTTTAAAAATGAAAAATTGCTGGGTACTTTTGAGAAAATTGCTTTATTTTTTGAAAATTGCTTTAAAGTAAAATTGCTTTTAAGGTAAGATTTTATAAATGAAAAATTTTATGAAAAAGATTTTAAAAAAAATTGCTTTAAGGGTAAGATTTTATGAATGAAAAATTGCTTTAAGAGTAAGATTTTATGAATGAAAAATTGCTTTAAGGGTAAGATTTTATGAATGAAAAATTGCTTTAAGAGTAAGATTTTATGAATGAAAAATTGCTTTAAGAGTAAGATTTTATGAATGAAAAATTGCTTTAAGGGTAAGATTTTATAAATGAAAAATTGCTTTAAGTGTAAGATTTTAAAAAATGAAAAAAATTTTTAAGAGTAAATGAAAAATTGCTTTAAGAGTAAGATTTTAAAAAATGAAAAATTGCTTTTTGAGAAAATATTTTATAATTTTCACTCGAGTGCCTATTGGATTAAAATAAAAACCATTATTTTTTTATTTTATTTTTTAGAAATTACATTGTTTACGTTTCGGAATATAAACCGAGAAAATATGACTTTCGAAAAAAATGTGAACAAGTTAAGTCTTCCTTAGAGACAAACAGAACCAAGCATGACTGTGAATGTCTCCGTGGCCGAGTGGTTAAAGCGCGCCCGATCAAACGACGGTTTCTCTTGCAAATGTTCGAATTCTGCCGGGAATTTTTTTTAATGAGTTTTCCCGAGTGTGGAGGCCGGTGGACGAAATAAAATAATGTTTAATATAAACGGAATTTTACTTAAATAAGGGTATCCACCTTTAAAATAATATATCTATATATAAACCTCAACCTACGTCGATAATTGGTTCCAGCGGTCACAACCTAGGTTGAAAAACGATTTAAGTCGAAATAACTACAGAATAGGCCGCAAATAAGTACTCCTCATTTCCTATTACAGTATTTATGATATGTACGTACATTATTCTGAATAAAATAATTCATTTCCACCTTATCTTTCAGCATTACGCTTAGCGTTAGCACTTACACGGGAACTTTTCTTCAGAGCTATGGCTAAAAATGTTTTGTAAATCACAAGTGAATTGAAAGAACGTCGACGGCAGAGCACAGATGTAAACAAGTCTTAATTCAAAAACGGAGTTGGAGTGGAAAACAACGCACGAGTGCCACCTGTCGACCGGAATTTGAGAACATCAGCTGAGCATACGCTATTATGATATATTTTTTTCATTTTATGACTTTATATGTGTTTCTTGGGATGTATGTGTTTTGAAGTTTCTAAATGGTCGACGTAAACTCGAGTAAAAAGACCTAAGGCGAGTTTTCTTTTTCCATCTAATATTTAAGAAAAACCGACGTATCTTCGAAAATGACTTAACTCGAAACAACTTAAACCGAGGTATCACTATATATATATATATATATATATATATATATATATATAATGTATATGCATATAAATATAAATATATATATGTGTA